ATTCAGTAAATGGGGTGCATACACAAAAGTACAAAATCCACAAGTGTGCTCGCATATCCTTTCGACAGCAGCTCCTTAGATCCTTTCAAGCAGCTGCGTGATAATACAATGGATTGTGCACTTGTATGACTTTTTTGTGTGTTTTCATATTTGTAGCTGTCACAAATTTACTCACATGCACAAGTACATTACATTACGTACATTAGGCCGGGTCAATTTGTATGGGAGATTTATTCGTCAACATATGTGCGTTTAGCACAGAATGATTCTTACGTGTAATTCTAAGCAAATTCGCCCAAGAAACCATAGGTCTAAAATCAATTTGGAGTTTGCCAAATTACGAAAAAAGGTTTTTTAAGCATTTTGCTGTAGTGTTGTAAAGAAGTGTTTAAATTTTATATAGAAACATGCTATAGGCTTTCTGGTATGAGGAATCCATTTCTGCGCTTAACTTTTGCTTAAAGCTTTCAATAGAGGGCGCAATCGTGAACATTTTCATACTTTCTTCGAATCCTATTTTCGCAATTTAGCAAACTCACAATTTGGTAAACTCCACATTGATTTTAGACCCATGGTTCCTTGGACAAATTTGCTTTCAATTATGCACATGCAAAAGCCTCCTATCCTATACGCACATAGTAAAAACAAATTTACCCGCCTTAACAAACATACATATATACTCCTGAGCCTAAAGTAGGAATTTTTGCAAGGCAATTTCGAAAAAAAAAAAGTATTTTTTTTTTTGCTGAACGACCCCTACATTATTCGTCATACCTCTGGCATTTACAGTCGGATCTTAAAGTATGATATTCCGATGTTCCTGTTTCGAAGATACATTTTTTGCTCCTCAACTCATTGACCTCAAGTACCCTGTTCCATTACTTACCCACCACCCTAAGATACCACTGTAATGTCAGTAAATTAAAGCTCGCCAAAAATTATGAAACTTGTGATAAAGCTGCTTTTTGTTTATTTCCGTAGAACTTAAAAAAAAAATATATATATATATGCTGAATGTAGGCATCACTGAAAAATGTAAAAGACCAAGACAAACATCTTATTTTTTTTGGAAATGGTCTTGCTTTAAAGGTGGTGCAGTCTAATGTACAAACATTCATGTCTTCCTTTTTCATACATATGTATTTGCTGCTTTGCCTTATTACTTCTGCTCTCAATCGCAATACAAACAAACAACTCCATGTTGACTGCAAATCACATATTGTTTAAATATTTTCATCCGCTTTGTCGCTTTTGCTTTTCCTTACCTCTCGTCACTTCAGTTCACTTTGTCTCGCTCGATTCAATCTCAACCACTTCTAATACCGGAGTAGAGCTTTATGTGTTTACAGCTTACTTGTTTGTGCTCGTCTTCCGTGTGTAGATGTTCGTTTTTTGTTATCCTTTTGCATCTTGCATAGGAAGTAAAGTATGTTGGGTACTTACGTTTTGACTGCACAATAGGGAATTAAGAAAACGAGAACGAAAAATGGGTTTAGAAAATACGGAATTGGAGTAAAGCCAAATTAGAGCAGCGAAATATTGAAATTGGAAACAAAGTTGAAGGCACAGAGAGTTTGAGGCAATTTTGTAACTTGGATTTAGAGCTTGTAAGGTACAATTTAAAATTACTTTAATGAATTTTTAAATATCTATTAACTATAACATTAAGTTAAGCCAATTTAAATTCGAATTCTAAGATACGCCTTTTTTAATAATTATTTTCAGATATGTCTTTTCACATAGAACCCGTCAAAATATGGAACCTCATCTAAATAGAGAATACTTGTGAACCCGCATGGCGTTGAAACGCCAAAATTGAATTTAACTTTTTAAACAGGTGAAAGCCTATTCAAAAACCTCAACAAGAATCCGAGTTCTTTAACTTGACTTCTCATTTTGGAAATTCGAAATAACGTTGCTGATGTGATGACCTTCAAAAAAATTGATGGTAACCCTAATTAAAAATATTATCAGCCTAAAGTTTTTTTAAAACTCCTTCGTTTGACACTAATATTTCGATATTGCATTTATGCAGCTTGTGTATAAGGAAAACAAATTCGACTTTTCAAGCAGGTGGCAACCCATTTAAAAGTATTTTTAAACTAAAATCTTTTTATCGTCTGGCATTGTTATACATATGTATTTCAATTAACTGATGAATTAATTTGAATTTGGGGTTTTTAAGCGGCAACCCTCTTTAAAGTTATTTTCGAACCAAAAATATGGTATGACACTTTTCAAGTAACTGATGAATTAAGTTGAAATTTATTTTTTAAACGGGGGGCAACCCTCCTAAATCTAGTTCTGAGATAAAGGATTTTAGACCCATTTCCATCGTTTAGTAATTCATTTAATTTATTAAATAATTTTAATTTAACCTTTTAAACTGCGGCAACTCTCAAACACATCAAAAACATTCTGGATTGTCAAACTAAATATTTCTTAAAACTTTTTCACTTGAAATCCAGTCTTAATATTGCATGTAACTTTGGTATAAAATAATTTAGTTTGACCTACTACCTTCTTAACCTCTTTTGTCTGACACCCATATAGTGTTATCTTATTCACTTACCAAATCCCTTTAATTAAAATTGAATTACATTTTTTAAACATGTGGCAACCCTCCTACACGTAGTTAAGATATAAACCTTTTCGAAACCATTAACTTTTTAAATAATTTGAGCCTAATTTCTTAACTGATGGCAACTCTTTTCGAAAAAGTAAACACCTCACTTTTGAAAATCGAACGAATGCTGTGGATCTGAAGGCATTTATTACTAAATAATTTAACAGTTGCTGTAGAGTTAGCAATAATCAAAATTTGATAGTTCAGCAACCAGAACTGGCTGTTGTAGAACAAACCATATTTTTATAAAAAATTATCGGAAATTATTAGAATAGAAATTGGTGCATATGTTGTGCAAAATTCGCTGTGCCAATACTTTTTTCCGGCAGCGTATGTATGTATTCAGAAATTGGGATTTACATACATACATACATAGATTTTCAACAATTTTTATTGAGCTTGAGGCCGCTTTTTAATGAAAAACTTATTGTGGAAAAGCAACAATAATTTGAAAAAATGGTACACTTCATCAGACTTCTTTCAGTAGGATTCGAACCGACGATTCCACTGACTCATTTAATTTAATTTATTTTTATTCTTTTTTTTTATTTACAGCTCACAAACCACACGCCGCAAACAACAAAGTGGGCGTGAACGCAATCGACGATCCAAAACCGATGAGGCACAAAATATGGACAGCAACATAATGGATGGAGAACGAGGTGAGTGACTGCTTTTAGATTTACTTTAAACTACATAGCTATAAATATAGAGGAGAGCATCGTCAACTGGACGCGACCTCATTTCTATTATCCAAAGCAATCCTAATGCAACAAGATGCCTATAGTTTGGCAAATCAGTTCCTAGTTGTGGTAGCTTGCTGCTTACTGCTGTTATTTGACTGCTGAAACCCTTGTGCGCGTATGTGCACGCATTTAATGGCGTACGAAATTGTCCGACCAAAGGCGGGTTTTACTTGGTATATGGTTTGATAGTTTGTTTGCACAGAACGAAGAAAGCTACAGGAGAGCCCTTCTTAATGACCAGCCAGCTGCGTTGACTCTCCTCCGATGCAGTATCTCGGCAGTGTTTGCTGCGGTTATTGTGACCACAACAATGTTTATCAACTTTTCTTAATTTGATAGTTTTCCCCATCGTTTGCTGCATGCCAGCTGCCCTGCAGTTGCAAGCGAATCTCAAAGCATGTATGCTCTCTCTCTTGCCGCTTGCGTTGGGGTGCTCCTGCATGTGAACATATATGCGTGTGTATATATGTGCATTAGGGCGCCTCGGCAAAAATAGCTGCGGGTTTTCCACCGGAATAATAAATTTTATTATATTTTAAGACTTGAGCTGAATTTTTAAATTTTTTTAATCCATTGATACAATTTTTAAACATTTTCATGCAGATCTTTTAATGTTAAATTCTGGAGTGAGGTTTGGAAAAAAAAAATTTAATCATATTTTATTTATAAAAAAATATATTTTTGGAGGTATTTTCAAATCGATCCAGCTCGAGTTAACCTGTTACAACTTCGATGAAAAACAGTACCGATTTTTTTATGGGTAGTGATACACCCTAATATGCATTTGTACTTGTACGTATGTATTGCTGGCTAAATGTGCGAATGCTGGATAGCGTTCCTAATAAGATTTTCCCAATCCAGTTATTCCACTTGTATGTGCGCAGAGAGCAAGCGTGTATCCTTTAAAGCGTCGGCGTGGGTCCTTGCAGTAAAAGGGAGATTGCAGCATTGACAACAAGAGTAACTCGTTTGTCGTAATATTGTCATCGTTCAAATATAAAATTGTACACATTTTTTTTACTCCTTTCATTTTACTGTTTTCATTGTTTGTGGACAACGAAATTTATGCGTTTGTTGTTTTTTTGTCTGTCGTTGGTTTATCTTTTATGACTTTTGAGCAATTGAAGCGTTGTTTCGGTATTTTTTTTTGTCTTCTAATTTAAATTTTGTACTTTTTTGCACGGCAGTACAAGCGCCACCAGTGGTGGCCGTAGCACCAATATTCTACTCGCGATGCCATACTTCCAGGCGCTACTCAGCAATCTGCCGGTGAGCTGGTCTAACCAGAAGAAGGTGGAGAGGAAGGGGAAAGCATAGAATACTCACCCAAAAGCACTACAAGAAAAAAGTGAAGACAGGGTGCATGTCGTCGTCGGTCAAACTGTCAGTGCAGCGGTCACTCAAACAGACATTCAAGTAGTCAGTAGAACGCGCGCTGCAAACTCATTGTCATCCCTACTTTTTAAAGAGGATGTGCGAGTGGGTGGTGTTGAAGGGTCTGCACTTGCTTGCTTGTGCAGTCAGTTAGGCTGTCCATCCAACTGTCTTCTTCATCTAACCAACTGACTTGACAGCACCGCCCATTGCCCCTCTTTAAAAGCTTTTCGCTTTTTTTTCCTTTTTCTGTCTGGCAGTTTAACCGTCGACAAAGGGAAACAAGAAAAACCAACTCCTCCAAAAACGAAAAGTCAGCGAAAGTTGATGTGCTTTCTTGCTCTTTGTGGTCTTTTTCAGTGGCCACTCTTTTCCATTCCTTCTTCTACAGCTTTTTCAGTTTTAGTTCAGAAAGTTGCAATTTAAATTCAGAAAGTTGCAATTCAAAATCAGAATTTCCAGTTCCAATTCAGAATTTTTATTTAAAATTCAGAAAATTACAATTCAAATTCAGAATTTCCAATTCAAATTCAGAAAATTATAATTCAAATTTAGAATTTCCAGTTCCAATTCAAATTCAGAATTTCCAGTTCAAATTCAGAAAGTTACAATTCCAATTCAGAATTTCAATTTTCTCCTTCCAAATTTTCGGGGAAAATGCTACTTTCTGGGAGTTAATCATTGGAGGATTTCTTTCTCGGGAGAAACAAATTCCCGGAGATCAAACTCCTTGGGAGTATTCAGAATTGGGCTGTATGTCTCTTTTAATTTATGCTGAACTGAATATTTCTATTACTGTTTTGTATTTTGCTTTTTTCCCCCGAACGACGTCGGCTGCTCTGCTATGTAGTACTGAATAAAACTAAATTGAAAACTTTGTGACACAGTCGCTTCTATTATGAAACCTAAATTCTTTATATCGCACAATGAATATAAATTTTCTGAACTTAATTTGGAAATTTCTGAATTTGAATTGTAACTTTCTGAATTTGAAATGGAAATTCTGAATTGGAATTGTAACGAATCAAATCAGGGGGTAGGGTCTTGAAATTTCCAAAAAAAAAAAAAGCATTTTCGATGGGCACCCTAATATGCATATACATACTTCATTCCCAGTTACATCTACTTGCTGTCGATTTAAGTTGCTCTGTAGTTTTGGTTACAGTTTTTATTACAATTTCTGCCACCGTTTATTTGAATTTCAGTTAACGATCTGGCGTAGCGTGCACTGCCGTGTGCTCCCACTCTTTCTTATACAAACCACCTACATATGTATAATATTTCGTTATTTCTTGCTTGAAGTGCCCAGGTTGACGCCGCCTTGCTGCTGCTGCGGCACTTGCCTACTTTGGTAAAGTGATGCTGTTGATGGCTACCTCAAATTCGTGACAGATCTTTTTGCTGCCAACGACGTCTATACGACTACAGTTATTGCATTTCTGTCGCCATAACGGCTCACAAGTGCACTTTCAGTTTCTAGCTTTTGTTTCTGCGCGGCTGTTTTTCTGACTAGTCGAGCCGTTTTGTTGTTTTTATTTCGTTTTCGCATTACTTTGATGTCGCCTCCTTGCCATTTTTGGCGCATTACATACATACATTTTTCTTTTGTTTTTGTCAATCGCATTGGCTTTGTGCTACGAACTAAGCGAGTTTTGGACACTGGCGTCTGCTCTGCTTTCAACTATGAGTGGTTTTGAGTTCCATTTCATTTCATTTTGCGTTTGTTGCTGCAACTGAGTGCCTTTCGCCTTTGTACCTTTTTATTTACATAGTTTTAGTTATTGTTGCCTTTTTGTGTAACGCCGCCATTTAACACCTTTCACATGTATAGTCTTTACATACATATGTATACTATTTGATGGGATAGGCATCCATCGTTCCATTTTATCGCTTTTTATAGTTGCGTATACGCCGTGGCATGCGTTAAATTGTATACTCCCTTAGCCACGCCATGTCGACTGTTATTAAAAGCAACTGAAGTGTATTTACATATGTATGTGCTTTAGTACTAGCGATGTTGAAGTGCTTTCGATTAGAGATGTGCTCTCTTCATTTGTATTTAATTTGCAGTAAGATTGAATACTTCCAAATCTTTCATGCGAACTAAAAGTGCAGACAAAGTCTAAATTAGTCAGTAAGCGTAGCAGTTTCTAAGTAAAATTTAATGAAATTATATACTTTAATTACTGTTAATAAATTGAAATATTTGCCCCCAATCATACTTTTTAAATTAGGGAAGTTTTTTGGAAAAACTTCTGAACATTTTTCAGCTCTATGCGAAAGTTATGTGTAGACATTATGGTGCTTCACAAAAAAAGTTGCAGTTTTTCATCGCAATTGTAAAGTGTATTATATGTATTTTAAGATCGCCGCCAAAATATTTGGGAAAATATTAAAACTTCTATGAGCTGTACCAAATACCTCTTGCTTCTATTGATACAATTTTTAAATATTTTTGATCTTCTATCATCTGAGGTAATTTTAGGAAAAATTATTTTTAAAAGTTAAATTTAATTTCGAAATACTTTGGCGGAAGTCGTTAAATATAAAAAATTGTATAATTCCGATGGATAAACGTTACAGGTTTTTTTTGTTTTGAGATTGATGCATCCTAATGTACATACATTAGACCGTAGTACAAAAAAGTTTAATTTGTCCAAGCGATTTTGAGCACTCACTATGATAGTATTTTAGAAGTATAAAAAAAATTGTTTTGCCATCCCGTAAAAATAGTTTTTTCTCTAACCTCTTCATACTTCGGTCCGATTCCTATAAATGATTTACCGTTGTAGAGATATTGAAATATATTACACAACGACGGATTACTTGTTACATGGTGCCGAAAAACGTTTTTTTTTTTTTGTTAATTTTCTGAAATACTCTCCTAGCGAATGTTCAAAATCGCTTGGAACTAATTGTACTTTTTTCGCCCCATACATCGTGATACACTCTAAGGTACATATTGTGTGTACAATCCCGGTCTTACCCATTTATTCATATCTTCTTTTTAGTTTCTTCCATAAGTATTTCCTTGCCCATTCCTTCTTCAACCCAAATAAATTGGTAAATAATTTTATTTTATTTTATGCTCTACCTTAAAGCTTTGTTGTAGCACATATTAAACAAAACATAAATAAGCATAAAAGTAGCACCTGCAGACTATTAGCTACATAGCTCGCTCACCTCATATCCCTCATACTATTGCACACATTCTATACTACAGTTGCAATGCCTAATTGCCTTCTGTCTACCCGCTAATGGCACACTGTCGGCATGGTCAAGTGAACTTTTGCTTGTTCTTCGTTTCTTCTGCATTTTGCATTTTTTTAATATTTTTTTTTTCGCTTATGCCTTCGCCGTGTATGGCTATAAGCTCGCTTGGTACAACACAGCTGGTGTTTTCAAACCATTAGAAGGCTTTGTTTACTTTTTTATGAGCAACCGTCGCAAATGAGTGCTGCATGTCTTCAAATTTCCATAGTTTTGATCACTAATTTGTGTATTTTAGTTTGCTTTTATTTTTCCATTTCCATTTCTTCTAA